AATATATCCATTTTCCCGTTGCCATTATGTGCCTTCAATCCGAATTTCAATAATGCTATTTGTTTCGATAAATCTACATATTCAATAAATTGATTACAGTGAATAAATCAAATGTAATTATATGGTTCCTGTGTCACATTTTTTGTCATTGCTAAGTGCATGGTGCCGAACTACTAAAAACTAAGTTCATTCACCGCTTAAAGAGGATGAGTACTGGAAATGTGAAACATAATTTGTGAGACTTTACATTGTGTTTATGTTATTGTGAAACAGTGTCACAAAGAGAAAAAATGTCCACGAAAAGGGATAGACTTTCAAATGGCCTCATTTCCGAATTAAGCCAAGTAAAAGATAAATTAAATCAAAGGGTTGGACCACGTCTATTCATTTTGCAGTCCCGTATACACGTTTATGTGTATAGAGTATGTGACTGCTCCAATTTCCCATCATTTTGATAATGTCAAAACCTCAAAGTATACACCCATACTGGTGTGCTACACGATCAACCTTTCAAGTCAAACCTTTCAAACCCTTCAAAAGGGACACTTATTCCTTGTACAAGAAACTTATTGGACAGCCGACATTGAAAATAGTGTGAAAAGTGAGTGGCCTGGGCCGTGTTATTTTTCACCCGGCACAAATCACTCCAAATGAGTTGCTATACTATTTGGTGCACACCTAGACATAGATGTCACTAGTATAGAGTAGAGTGATGATGGAAGAAAGTTGTTACTAAAAGTTAAAATGGAAACCTTTTTATTTACAATGGTAAACGTATATGCACCAACTAAGAAAAAGCAAAGAGAACGGTTTTTTTAGAAATCTAAATACTTTCGTATCAAATTCTTGTGAAAAATATGAAAAATCTAAATTAGTAATGGCAGGAGACTGGAATTGTGTACTGAATGTCAAGAAAGACACTACACATGTTCACCCGATACCAATACAGTTACAGTAAAGTATCGAAGCAGATTACCCAAAGTTGCTCAGTAATATCAGAGCAGAATATGTAATCTGAAACCCAGGTGACAAAGTTGCTCTGGTAATGAACTGGAACTATTGTCACCTAGGTTAGATTTATAGAACAGTAGTGAACTGTAGGATTGAGTAATTTGTGCGCCCTGATAGTACACTGGTCTGATGAGTTTTCTTTACTCCAGACTTTACCTATTTTTAATCGCATGGGCAATGAAAATATATATGATATAAAATAAAACGCGTGCATGCTCCTCTGTGTAAGTTGTTCATGTTGTTTAATGTTCACTTATTGATTTAGATTTTGTTGGCACTGACATAACTTTTTTTAATTCACTTTTTTAAATATTTTTAGGGGGTTAGGGGCAATGCTTCATGCATGCATAAACAACGAATTAAGCAAGATCATAGCTTTAAAAGAACCTAGCGGTAAAGAGTACCAATTGATCACCAAAACAAAGGTTGTAGTGAAGTTAGGAGTTTCATTTGTTCATAGGCCGATTGTATAACATTTTAAAAGAGCTATACATTGATATTACCCCTATTTATAGACCCTCGATTAACATAAAATCGTCTTGTGAGTAGACTATTACCTCTTACTTAAATGTTATCCAGATTACGGTAGCCACAGTAACGCACTGTTCCTCTTTATCACCTGAGTATTATAGTGTCTCTCCTTCTTTCCTCGTCCCCTTCTATTCTCTCGATCCCTCATCCCCATTCTCCTTTGATTTTCCCCTGCCCCCCCCCCCCCCCCCCCCATGCACCCCTTCAGCCATTTCCCTCTCTTCGCCGTAAACCCAATCATCTTTCCCCCATCCTCTCTAAACTCGTTCTTCCGCCGGTTTGCTTGCTCATCCCTCCCCTCCTCCCCTTGCCTTACCGCTTCCCTTCTCTAGCTCTCTGTTTACCACTCTCTCCTTCTTTCTTCTCTCCCCTTTCATTCTCTCCTTCCTCATTCTCCTCCAACTTTCGTCTTCTACCTTTAATTCGCTCTTATCCGTTAATCCCAGTTTATCCAATCCTTTCCCCTAGTTCCTTCACTCCCTTTTCGCAAACCTTCATCAACTCATTCTCCAGTCGGCCTGCTTATTCCGCCACCCCCCCCCCCCCCCTCCTCAATCTTCCTTCCCTCCACCCCGCACGCGCTCTTTCTCCCTCTCTCTTTCCCTTCACTATATCCTGCGCTAGCTCTTCTTATTTCCCCTCATTTCCTAAACGCTCCACGGAGTATACGCCCTTATTCCCTTACCCGGCCGGCCGCCCTCTTAAATCCAAAAGAATGCCCCCTTTCGCCTTCTCCCCACCTCCGCTCCCTTTTCTCCGCGTCTTATTAATGTTGGTCCCTCTCTCGATCCCCCTTTCTCCCTGCTTCCCCTCTCAAGGCGCGGATCCAGGATTTCTTAGGGGTGGGGGCCCAATTTTTTTTCTTTTTGCTCTCGGAAATTTGAAAATCGCGCCAGCCGAAAATGCGCTCAGTGGGGGGTTGGGGGGGGGGGGGGGGTGGCGGGTAGTAGTGAGCACATTTTTTTGGGGGGAACCCCTCTAAAATTTGCATCCCCCCCCCCTCCCCCTTGAGCGCCAGGGGGGGGGGGGGAATCTCCCCAAAAAGGTAAAATTAACGTGTTTTTACACGTTTTATTTTTGAAGGGGGGGGGGACGGCCCCCCCCCCCGATCCGCCACTGCCCCTCTCTTACATCGCTCTCTCAGCTCCACCGTTCCTCTCTGTTTCCTCTACTTTTTGTTCCCCCTTTAACCTCCCCTTAGTGGGGTAGTGAGCACATTTTTTTGGGGGGGAGGGCCCTCTAAATTTTGCCCCCCCCCCTTGAGCGGCAGGGGGGGGGGCGTGGGGGAGGGGGGGGGGGGTAGGGTAAAATTAACGTGTTTTTACATTTTTATTTTCGAAGGGGCCCCCCCCCCCACCCAGATCCGCCACTGCCCCTCTCTTACCTCGCTCTCTCAGCTCCACCGTTCCTCTCGCTTTCCTCTACTTATTGTTCCCCCTTTAACCTCCCCTTAGTGGGGTAGTGAGCACATTTTTGTTTTGGGGGGGGGGGGGGGCCCTCTAAATTTTGCCCCCCCCCCCCTTGAGCGGCAGGGGGGGGGGGTAGGGTAAAATTAACGTGTTTTTACATTTTTATTTTCGAAGGGGGCCCCCCCCCCCCACCCAGATCCGCCACTGCCCCTCTCTTACATCGCTCTCTCAGCTCCACCGTTCCTCTCGCTTTCCTCTACTTATTGTTCCCCCTTTAACCTCCCCTTAGTGGGGTAGTGAGCACATTTTTTTTTGGGGGGGGGGCCCTCTAAATTTTGCCCCCCCCCCCCTTGAGCGGCAGGGGGGGGGCGTGGGGGAGGGGGGGTAGGGTAAAATTAACGTGTTTTTACATTTTTATTTTCGAAGGGGCCCCCCCCACCCAGATCCGCCACTGCCCCTCTCTTACCTCGCTCTCTCAGCTCCACCGTTCCTCTCGCTTTCCTCTACTTATTGTTCCCCCTTTAACCTCCCCTTAGTGGGGTAGTGAGCACATTTTTTTTTGGGGGGGGCCCTCTAAATTTGGCCCCCCCCCCCCTTGAGCGGCAGGGGGGGGGGGGGGTAGGGTAAAATTAACGTGTTTTTACATTTTTATTTTCGAAGGGGGCCCCCCCCCCACCCAGATCCGCCACTGCCCCTCTCTTACATCGCTCTCTCAGCTCCACCGTTCCTCTCGCTTTCCTCTACTTATTGTTCCCCCTTTAACCTCCCCTTAGTGGGGTAGTGAGCACATTTTTTTTTTGGGGGGGGGCCCTCTAAATTTTGCCCCCCCCCCCTTGAGCGGCAGGGGGGGGGGGGGCGTGGGGGGGGGGGGGGGGTGGGGTAAAATTAACGTGTTTTTACATTTTTTTTTCGAAGGGGGCCCCCCCCCCCACCCAGATTCGCCACTGCCCCTCTCTTACCTCGCTCTCTCAGCTCCACCGTTCCTCTCGCTTTCCTCTACTTTTTGTTTCCCCTTTAACCTCCCCTTAGTGGGGTAGTGAGCACATTTTTTTTTTGGGGGGGGGGCCCTCTTAATTCCCCCCCCCCTTGGTGCTCAAGGGGGGGGGGGGGCGGGGCATCTCCCCCAAAAGGTTAAATCGACGTGTTTTTACACGTTTTATTTTTGAAGGGACGGCCCCCCCCCCCCCTCCTCCCCGGATCCGCCACTGCCCCTCTCTCACCTCGCTCTCTCAGCTCCACCATTCCTCTCTGTTTCCTCTACTTTCTGTTCTCCCTTTAACCCCCCCCCCCCCCCATTAATTCCTCTTTTTCCCCCTGCTTTCACAGAGTCTCCTCATTGTATATTATATCAACTCCCATTTCTTGGCCTTCCTCCTCTTTCAGCCTAACATCATATATCGGGCATATATCATTATTATTGTCCCACTCATTTCTAGCCCTTCCTCCATTTTCTTCCCCATTTCATCCTCTTTTTCCTCACTCAATCCGTCTCCTCCCTTCTTCCCTATTCTACTCTATATACCTCTCTCTTCTACCTCCTGCTCCCGCCCTCCTTTACCCCTCCAATTCTGTTTTCCACACTCAGTCTCCTTCTCACCTCGTCCCCTTCTCACCTCGTCCCCTTCTATTCTCTCGATCCTCCTTCCCCACCCTCTCTAAACTCATTCTATCGCCTCATTCGCCGTCTTGCTCATCGTGTTGATATAGGTGATATATTACTATATTATCCTTGTCTCCTTATGTAGAAAACAAAACCTGTTACAATACAAAATATGGGGCACCTATCCCTCTTCACCAACCTCTCCCCGAATCAAAGAATAAGTACAACTCATGGTTGGGAGGAACAAAAATTTAAATTTCCTCATAAAAGGAATCAATGTTACTGATCATGCTGAGCTTATAATGCAGTCGCTTGTCTTCACACATTCTTTATATATGAAACAGCCCCGGCAACTGAGTGGCCGGTGGCCGCCTATCACACTGCCCAAATCGCGTTCCAGAGAAGAACAAAGTCCACACAAAGAAATAAAATTCTCGACAAGAGTCAAGTGTTGAAGTGGATAGTAACTTTATTACAATTTATTACATATAATCATGAAAAGTCACATCTATGGGCTGGAAGCCCCCAACTCTGCTAAAACTTTAGCACCTCATGGCGGCAAAGGAAATGAGGTATGAAACAAAATGAGGAAGTCATCCGAAAAGTAAAAGCTCGTGCCAATTCAGGAACTGCTTCCCATTTTATACCTTCTGACACGTGTGTTGCCCCTTAATAGGGCGTGTCACTACGAGGCATTGCGTCAAATTAATCCCTGGAACCATATACACCCATATTAAAAGGAAATTTATTAATTTTGCGAACTTAACCTCCAGAGTTGAGCTCACCGGACCCACCATTACTCCTCTACAATCCATTGATGTGTATTGCATGTAGTCCACAGTCAGGAGGGTCACAAACCCCTCTACATGTACATCCACTGTCACATCTTGATTCTTGAGATGAACTCGGTAGAAGTATCCACATTGTTTTGGAGTTGCATGCTCCTTCTGGTGACTGCTCCCCCCTTCAGCTACTAGTACAGAAAAGTCCAATGGCATCCTTGTACGCAATTCCGACAAGCCGGCTGTTCATGAATAAAATATAAACTATTTTCAAATAGTATACAACTTTAGGAAGTCAAGCTGACATCATCAGTGTATTTCTTCTTCTTTTTCTTCTTGTTCTACTTCTTCTAGTAAGTAATCTTCAAAGAGTTATTCGTTTTATAAAAACATATTGTTCGTTCGACAGGAGTACATTCCTTATTTTCCATGCTTATCAGCCCAACGACAGATCCCAGATAATTATAATAATACATGGTCTTCATGGTCTGAAATGAAATTACTGTATTACCAAACATGCCTTTCATTACTAATATACTACGTTTGCGTAAAAGATCTAATTAAACATTCAGACCATTGTTTTTATGTTTAAAATCACCAATCCAAACGTTGAACTTGGGTTACTGTTGTTAAGAAAATATATTGTGAAAGTGGGATGGGTTGCATGTGGTAAGGATGTGTTGCATGTTAACAATTGCAACAGAAAGTTCTCGCTCTTCTATGGGGCGACTTACTTCAGACACTGTCATCTGGCCTCCGAGCTTTAGACAGCAAGGTCCTTGTCATTGTGAGCTTCTCATTCTACCCTTCATTTGCATGAAATACATTACATGTACAGGCACCTGTTTGTATAGAGACATAAAATAAATTCACTTTTACGGCATGTTCATGAAAGCAATGTGAAGTACTAATTATAAAGTGAACAGCAGGGTAGGGTTCTTGCAGAATTTCTAGAACTCGCAGTAAGGGTGTAATAAATATAAACTTTGAACAATACTGGTATGTAGAAAGGGATTTAGGGTAGCCCGAAATTGGGTCTGGCAATGTTTAATACATTTAGGGTTGACATTATGTTTAGCAATGGATCCAGGATTAAAGTTAAGAATTCATTTTGTGTTACAACATAACCAGTACATAAATGCCAATAGAGCACGTTGTAAAAATCGCTGAATTCTTTTAATTGGTAATACAGTGCTACATGTTTCACAAACTGCAGGCCAGTGTGTTTTTACTTTATAAAATCTATTTTAAATGATACTGTGTTACATACTTTTTTTCTTCCACTCTACATCATGTTTCTGCTTTCACAATACAGAGGAAGATTTTAAAACTACCATTGATGAGTAAAAGATACATGCAGCTCCACCAGCACCTGGAAAATCAAGTTGTACAACACCTTCTCCTGTGACAATTGCTTCACATAATTTTTCTACACTATTAAACTTCATCCCTAGGCCTAACCCTAAACCTAAACCACCTTAATCACAATTCCAACCCTCAGTCTAACCCTACACCTTTGACAAAATAAAGCCTAGAGTAGTCGTTGCAGGAGCAAATGTTGAGTTACTAAAAATGCCATGACAGACTCATATGCTATGAATTTATCTCTGTTTCTTTCCCTGATTTGTTAAAAAAACATTGTAATATGCATTATGAATTACCAGTCCATTGTGCTTCGCTCATATATTGCCAGGCACAAGAGGCCATCGCTTAGAGGTAAGGGGCAGAACATCAAGACTGGAAGTGGAACCTCAAGGCACCCCATGATCTCTCAACAGCAAGCCCTTCCTCTCCATCTCTGGAACAGAATTATAAAAATATTCAATAAATATTAACCAAATATGTAAGAATACACAAAAATTGCATTATTTTTTTTTCTTCAATTGTCTTCAATGTTTACTTTCTTTTTCAGCAAAATATGAAGGTCAATTATTTTCTTTTTGCTTGTCATTCTGTTTCGTGTATAGGACTCCCCCCCCCCCCTCCCCCCATCCCTTCTTCAAGGCCTTCAAATGTTAATTATAAAAAAAATATATATTGGAAGTTAAAATACACTATAAATAAACACTACAGCAACTTGTTAGTAGACATCTTGTTGCACACATACCATGTAGCCACCCCTGAATCGATACTTCTCATACCAGCCCTTTGCATACCCCTCCAACTTGGCCTTATTTAATGCCCTCACCCATTTAAAAATTTCCTTTTACTTGACTAACTAAACAGGTGAAGTTTTAAAAAGTCCAAGTTAAAAAAAAAAATTAAAAAAAATTACCTTTTCTTGTTGTGGTCCGTTTTCTCCAGGACATTCTTGTTTCAGGCACATACTCAAAGAAGCAAGCATATGGTAATACACTCTGTATATTTCCTGTAAAAGAGAGGGGGAAAATTTATTCTTAAAATAGCTAGGTTCACATTCAGACTCAGTGACTGAAAACAACAGTCAATGCTACAATGTTTGCAGTCTAAAGACTGAGAGTAGAGACAGAGTCTTGACGTAAACTAAGAGACATAGAGTCAAGACTGCGCCAAAAAAAGATCAATACTCTAGAGTAAATTTAGAAACCACTAGCATGACTAGGCACTAGACTACACTACACTGCAGAGTGCAGTATACTTCTTCTCCTTCTTGAAGATAATCTGCCTCCTATCCTTCAATACCGGTACTGAAGATTCTTGCAGATGCCGTATATTCATGTATATATATATATATTCGGCCTGAGTGGGGTGTGCATGTAGACCACTACATCAGGTTTTTCCCCTATTCTTATACGAATAGTGCCGTGGGTTCTTAACGTGCAAGGGTAGTGATTATCCTGTACACGGGGTCTCCTTTTAACATCCTATCCGAGACGGATTGTTTTCCATGTAACATAGCCTGCGTCTATGAAACAACAAGGGGAGGGGCACGTTAACACACAACGCTTGCTTCAGTCATCCGCTTGGGTGCGATTCGAACCCAAGATCTTTGGGCCGACAGGCAGACGCTTTACCGACTGAGCCAATTTGCCTCCTAGTCCTCCTACTGTCTACCGACTAGACTCTAGATTATTTACATTTCTATTTTAATTCTAACTTAACTAAAGTCTAGTGAAATCTTTACTCCAGGGAGCTCCGTCACCGAAGCCCTTCGGAGGCCGTAGGCGGAGTTCTCTGAAGCATGTACATGTATAGCATGGAGTTAGTGAAATCTAAACACTGTTTGGGGGTTTGCAGTTTATTGCAGGAGTTGTTGTTTTGGCTGCTTACAGCTTAGCCTGCCCTTGAAATAAAAATGGAATTTTCAATTCTAAATTTATTAAATCCGACAGCCAAGTCCGGATAACAGCAATGGATGACAGTAGATCTACTACTACAGTATACCACTCCAGCAAAGTATAGACTGATATAGACCGAAAGCTTCAGTCTCTGATATCGACGGTTGTTCTGCTGAAATTGCATCTGGCTCATCTGACCGCCTCTATACATAGACTGAAGTACGTCCTATGGTGACTGAGTGGAACAAATGGTTTGGTTCGGCAGGACCGCGATGAATGAGATATGCAACAAGATTTTTACTCTTTACATCCTCATATATTCACTTTGGCTGTAAAATTACATTTGACTATATTAACAAATAAAAAATAACAAAGAAATATCTACTTTGACTTACGATAGCTTGCTCATTTAGATCCTACATTAACAAGTCAACGCAAAGCGTAGCATCCCCTCGCAGGGTACAAATGGCCTATATACATGTACATCAGAACAAGTTAACTCCATTGGACTATACTATTATATTACTAGGCAAGGAAGTTAACCACATTTTCACATATATGACCTTTCACCTTTCACCTACATACTCGGAAATTAAACTTAGCCTGTATTTTGATATCATGTACCTTCATATCAAATTTCATTAAAATCCGTCAAACATTACCGAAGTTATTGATCGGAATCCAAAATTGTTACGGACGCACGCACGGACGCACGGAAGGGCGGACGGCAGTGTTTCTATATCCCCTCCGACTTCGTTGCTAGGGGATAATGATTAATCCGAGAAAGTCTTGTAGTCAACATGATTCGTTGTCAGCCACCTGGTTTTTAGATGATGAATATTCATTTTTTCTAGACTAGTACTAGCCTAGATCTAGTAGTAGTAGTAGACCTCTAGGTGTCATCAATTGTCACTAGTAGGGTGTCTGATCGCGCACCCGTTGTTGTGCGCTAAAATTCTTCCCATAGAGATTGCACGCATCCCTATGCAGTCTACGTGCATTGCGCGACCATGCAAAAAAAGACAAGTTTTTTTTTTCAAATCGAGATTCAAACCTTTATCTGTTGTGATCCTGAAGGTGATAATCAATGAATGAGGTGTCATATGAAAGAGCAGGATAATTCCAATATTTCCAAAGGGGCGTAGCCCCCGAAATTCTAAAAATATCTTGGTCAAAACAGCGATTTAAACATTGTGTCCTGGCTAACTCCGAGGTTTGTCACTTTTGAGATATGACGCCCCGGTCGATAAGTAGTCCCAGTCCTAAGGAATATATGTATGTGTTTATTTTTTCGCTAGCCCCCAGGGATCACAACTGATAACAGTTTAAAAATACCCTTCTCGCTATTAGGTGGATCAGCTAATTAGGGAGGCGTGACTCTGCTCAGCCCAAATCCATGGTGACAGCGCTTAAAATCCGCTAATGCATATGCATTTAGATCACGCAACGTTCAGCGGCGCTTAGCAAATTTTGTGCGTGCTACCCGTGTCGCAACCTTTGTACACACTATGACGCAGCGTTGAATATGTGTGTATAATAAGATGGGTAGAAGAATCCCTGCAATCTGATTGGTCAATCTGTGATGCGTTTGCCCGTACCGTGTGTGTACTACTTGTGTGTGTATTCGGATCTGTCTGTGCTGGTGTGATGTATTATTAAAGGCGGGCAAGTCGCATTGTAATTGTCCCCACTGCCTGAAATGTATATGTCGCTAATGGTTAATTTACATTCATCAATTTGCAACGGGCGTCGCTGGGAACGAGCCCCTTATTCACGTGACATTATTGAAGGCGGGCAAGTCGCATTGCAATTGTCCCCACTGCCTGAAATATATATGTCGATAATGGTTAATTTACATTCATCAATTTGCAACGGGCGTCGCTGGGAACGAGCCCCTTACTCACGTGACATTATTGAAGGCGGGCAAGTCGCATTGCAATTGTCCCCACTGCCTGAAATGTATATGTCCCTAATGGTTAATTTACATTCATCAATTTGCAACGGGCGTCGCTGGGAACGAGCCCCTTACTCACGTGACATTATTGAAGGCGGGCAAGTCGCATTGTAATTGTCCCCACTGCCTGAAATGTATATGTCCCTAATGGTTAATTTACATTCATCAATTTGCAACGGGCGTCGCTGGGAACGAGCCCCTTACTCACGTGACATTATGAAGGCGGGCAATTAATTTAAAAGGCGGGTAATTTAAAGGGCCATCTAGTGCAACGCGTATGCGCTGCTTACGTAATTACGAGCATTATCGAAATCTACTCGATTTACGACTCTACTCGACTCCAGCTCTGAATTAGTTTGCGATTGAAGATTTTACTCTGTTATCACCTGGATTCAACTAGCTTTTCATCTAGCTTTTCATCTGACAGCCAACATTACGTAATTACGAGCATTATCGAAATCTACTCGATTTACGACTCTACTCGACTCCAGCTCTGAATTAGTTTGCGATTGAAGTTTTTACTCCGTTATCACCTGGATTCAACTAGCTTTTCATCTAGCTTTTCATCTGACAGCCAGCATCATGAACCCTGAAGCCGTAAGTAACTTTTTGAATTGTTTTCAGTCTCCTCCAATAAAGAAAGAATACATGACATTTCAGGACCTTTCTATTTTTTTCTCACATTTCGACATCTGGCAAGAATCTAGTACTGAGTGCAACGGCACACAAAGGGAGTGCCTCTTGGCATATTCTAAAACGGTTTCCAAGAGCCATATCAATGTCACTTCTATTCACTTTGGTAATCTTAGGAGGAAGACAACGTACAGCTTGAAAAAAGGGAGGGGGGATAAAGTTGTACAAGAATTGCATCAAGTGTCGGGGTTGGGACCAAACTGTTCAAAGATTGGGGTATTGGAGGGTGATGTTCAAGCTGCGTTGTGTGACGAGTATGGCCGTGAGAGGATGGGATGGGCGTGGATGACGAATGGTGTGGTTTTAGAACTTTATGCGTGGGGTAGGAAAAATGATCTTTCCACCGAAAGTTTCAAACAGTTGCTGCGTGCGCTGTTTGAGGTTAATGATAGTGTTGGTAGTGTAAGTAAACATAGGCTGAACAACAAAATACAAAAGGTAACTGAAAAAAGGAGCTCTGGATTGAATGAAAGAGACTTAGACATATTCTTGAAGGAGGTGTTTGTAATTTTGCCCGTAAGTGGTAATCAGGCAAGTGGGGTTGGGGGGAGAAGAAAGCCGGATGGCGGGAAGGAGAGGCAAAGTGGTGGGAAGGGAAAGCGCGGGAAAGGGGGTTCGAGGCCAGTTCGCGAGAAGGTTAGTAAAAGTCGAGAAAAATCCAATTGTAAATGTAGATTTCGAAAGGAATGTATAATACTCAAAACGAGGTTAAGGAAAATGAGAGTAAGGTTGACCGCCGTAGAAAAGAAACTTAACGACTACAAATTAAGTTTAGCAAAATCGGAAGTACAAAGGCGACGATTTAAGATAAAAGATGAAGGTAGGAAAAGGGCACTTGATGATCAAACAAAGGCAGTAAAAAAAATGCAAACCGAGTTGCTCTCAAGAAAAATGAAAATTTCGCTTCTTGAAGAACAAACAAAGCAGTTCAGAAAGTTAAAACAACAAAAAGGGGCGATGAAAGTAATGTGGAAGAAAAGACAAGTACGCTTGAATTATCTAAAGAAAAGAAACGACTTGCTTTCGAAAACTATCAAAGAAAATAAATCTCTCAAACGAAAATTGAAGAAAATGACAGTTAAGTTAGGCAAATTAGCGAATCCGCTATCGGAGATTGTCATTCAGTCAATCGAAAAAGGCAAGTACACGGATGAGGTTAGGCTGGTATACCAAGAGTTAGAGTGCAAATTTGGAGTCAGTTCAAGGAACTGTGAAGGGGTGGTAAGGTCAATAATCGAGGGTTTGACAAAAGCGGAGGTGGGGAAATTACCAAAAAAGGACTTTGCAGCAGATATGTTTCAAGAAGCCAGAGTTCTAAGTCAAATTCAAGTATTAGATACGCTGATGAATGAAGACCAGTCAAATCTTACAATAGGGGGAGATGGCACAACAAAGGGGGGTCATCATTATGGGGCTTTTGATATTCACACACAAGATGGTGACTGCTATGTCATGGGGGTAAGA